AAATAAGGAGCGCAATAATTAGTTGGAGTCTCTTAACCATTCAACCAAGACTTTGTTTTGTTATAGAAGGAGAAAATGGTCTTCTCGAAAAGATCAAATTACATGAAATGAAGCAACTAAAAGTTGATACTCCCCCGTCTCAAATTAGCTATTTTGCTTCGTTTATAAGAGTTAGAGTCAAGTACGTGAACTTTGACTAATATTTTCAAATATTATTTTATTATATATTAACATGAGAAGACTTGTAACTTATAATATTTTTTTTATAATTTTTGAATAATTAATTTTTGACAAAATATTTCATTTTGCTCGAAAGATTACTAATAAGTCTTCTCTATTTTAGTTTCGTCTTTGTGAAGATCGATACTCTCTTGTCTAGGCAATTATAATTATATATATAAATTTAGCTCATAAGAAATAAAATTAATATTTTATGTATTTTGTTCTTTATAGTATGGCAGTAATCACAATTTCTTCACAAGATCAAAACTTATGGTTAAATGTCGTAATAAATCCTTACAATTTTAATTATTTTTGACTGGTTTAAGAATTTCAACTTGTATTTCGGTCCTTGAAGATTATTTGTTTTCTCATAAAAATGATTAGTTTTCTAGAATTGGCGTTCTGTTTAATAGTTGTTAAATTTCAAGAGAGTAAAAATATTAAAGTGGGGGTTCTGTTTAATAGAATTGGCGTTCTGGTTAAAATTGTTTACAAGAAACTCTCAGAGTTAAGATTATTATCCTACAAGGTTACAAGGTGGCATTCAATCTTAATAATAAAATATATTTTAAATGAGTAAAAATAAGAAGTTGAAAGTCGGTTAGTATTGAGGGAAAAGTATGAGTCAGTCCACTCATGATAAGGCAATATTCGGTACCAAAATCAAATAAAAGGCACATATTTCTATTTGTCACCGTTTAGGGGTAAATTTGAAACAGTCCACTAATAACAAGGGACCAAATTCAAAATAAAGACAAATTTGCTCTACCTTCCATAGTTCAGGGGCATTTTGGCCCTTTTTATACTGCCACGTAACAATAATCCTATATAATAACATTAACTATAAAATCCAGTTTTTTCTCAAAAACCGATCTTTCATATTTATAATAACAATATTTATCTTTATAGTAATATGCTCTTTGTAAAATTACTCTCTATAACAGTCACGTAATATTTCTATGATTACCAATAATAAGTCTAAAGATTTTGACCAAATATTTTAAAACTTTAATGCGCCATGATATGATAAAAAATCTCATGTTACACCCATAATTAAATATTTCATTCAATTCCAGTAAAATATATGCTTGTATATTTTTATGCTATTGCATAAAAGTTTTCATCGTACATAATGTTTAATATTTGAAGAGCTGCACATATATTTTTCATTAGACAGTTTTTATTGTGCACAAGTTTAAGATTTAAGTAATATTCGGCCAGTAAGAGACTGAAATCTATAAAATAAGCTACAATTATAGAGTTCTTCATCAATTTTGAAAGAATTTAATTTTCAAGTAGTTTTAAAATGTGTGCCTTGAATTTTTCATCTTTGCACATTTAGTTATAAATTTATCGGTATTGTATTAGCTCTTTTTAATATCTAATTAGTAAAATATACATATCTTTTAAGATTTTAAATTTTAATAATTCTTTTATTTTTATATGTAATATTAAAAAAGAAAAATAATAATTTTTATTTCATTTTTATTTATAACATCTGAATAATATCTAATTGTCAAATGATGTTATAAGTTGTATAACAACCATTCACTATAATATCTGATTGTAGCTTTTAATTACTCGTTCGAACTCGTGATATTGTAGTTCAAATTGTACACAATCTCTTAACACTTCGAGTTGTTTCTTTGAGTATATTATCTAACAAAATTGTATTGCACTATTTTCCGCATATTTTATCTGCTGCTGGCCTGTGTAATTAATTCAATCCAATATTCGAACATGATCCACTCTACTTTCTAAAGTTAAGGTACGAATATAAGACAAGTATTGTACATCTAATATTTATATTGTCTGTCAACAAACATTATTGAATGACTCATAAAAGAAGAATTCCTGGCCAGCCACACGTAAGTATATATTTTTAATCTATATAAGAGTAAAAATCACATGTTGAAAGAGAAAAAGGATACATGCATCAGAACCATCAATTGCCAGATTTTTCCATTATATGCCATGCATTAATGTTTCTTCAGTTGATCTTCTGTACTTACTTTCTACTTTGTAAGAAATACGCAACCCCTTATTTTTCTATTTATAGGATGTAGTTTTTAATTTTAAAAAACCAGTTTCACCAATGATTTGATCGAATACTCAATTATATTTGTACTAATTTGTAAATCTACTGATCGTACTGAAATTAATTATAGGAAACGCCTCAAAAATGGTAAAACATGAGCAACTCAAGTTTGTAATAGGATTTGGACAAATAAACCAAATGTATCATGAGAAAGTCAAGTACTTAATGTGAAGTTAGCACACACGACTAAATTGAAGATAAAGAGGCAGTTTTCTAGTCCCACTACGTTATTCGTAGAGATGAGAGGTATCAGATTAACAGAGATTTTGAGTTCAAGTCTTAAGAATTAAAAAAATTTAGTATGAATCACTTTTTCTTTTAATAAATCGTATGTGGTGCGAATCCAAAATTATTCGAGGCCAATACCAAGTGAAAAACTAAAAAACAAAATAATTTTTTGTTCAAGCCATACCGATATGACTATATATAAATCTTTATTTATGCCAAGTGTCTAATTAGCAACATATATATAAATATTTTAATAAAGCTTTAAAGTCGAGTTGGTGAAAATGGTGGGATGTTTGAGTTTGAGACGTAAGGAACTCTACTGCTAAGATCCATTATCCATATATATATTCCACATGTGAACCAAATCTTCGAATCCAAATGATGTGACAATCCTTTATTGTCTCGTCTACATGTGAAAGTTAAATGACATTTGCCGATCTGATATATGCGATTGGGTACTGTTATACCCTGCTTGATAAAATTATTTAATCGTACATTTTCTCTTTTGAAGTTTTTTAAGTTTCTCATCCGACATATATTTGGGGTCTCAATTAATTAGTGTTCGCCCCATGTAAAACCCAATAAAGAGGGAAGTATTCTTTACTTGATTTGTTTTTAATTTCCTGAACTCCAACTCGAGACTCTAGGAAGTTACTTTCTATTATAAGTTTAATTACTTGCCTAGTTCTTCACACTATTACCAAAATGATACACTACTAAAAATTCGACAAAAACCGACCAAGGTCAACCGATCAACTTTGGTCGGTCAAAAAACCGACCAAAAAACCGACCAAAGTTGGTCGGTTTTTCAAAATATTTTTTTTTAAATTTTTTTTTTTACGAAACCGACCAACTTTGGTCGGTTTTCTTTGGCGCAAAAATGCGAAAAACTATTTTTGAGTCCCGCGAAATTTATGTTTCAAGAAACCGACCAACTTTGGTCGGTTTTTCAATTAAAATAAATAAAAATTAATATTAAAAAAACCGACCAAAATTGGTCGGTTAATTCGGCGGGTCATTTAAAAAAATCGACCAACTTTGGTCGGTAATTTTNACGGGTCATTTAAAAAAACCGACCAACTTTGGTCGGTAATTTTACTTTTTTAATAAAACCGACCAACTTTGATCGGTAATTTTACTTTTTAATAAAACCAACCAACTTTGGTCGGTTATTTTCGTGCAAAAATACAATTAAAGAGTATAAATCAAATAAAAGACAGTCTTAAAACAAAATGTACCAATGGTCTAGTGGTAGAATAGTATCCTGCCACAGTACAGACCCCGGTTCGATTCCCAGATGGTGAATCTTTTTATTACATAATTAAAATACCGACCAACTTTGGTCGGAAAAAACCGACCAACTTTGGTCGGTTTGTTTTGCAATATTTTTTTTTTTGAATTTAATTGACCGACCAAAGTTGGTCGGTAATTTTCGTCCAACTTTGGTCGGTATTCCTTTCCGACCACAAAAATACCGTCCACACGTAAATGGTCGCGTTTTGGTCGGTTTTTGGCTATTATCGACCAACGTTGGTCGGTTTTTTTGGTCGGTTTTTACCGAATTTCTAGTAGTGATAGCCTGACAATTGAGTCAACTCCACATAGCCACGACCAACTACATGTTCCTGATCTCACTAACTCTGCTGTATCAAGTCAATCACAAGAGCACCCGAATCATAACCAGTGCAGACCTGCTAGACCACACAAGATATCTACTTACTTAATTGACTATATGTATTCAATCCCAAATCTCCAACCATGTTCATCTAGCCAAAATCAAGAAACACAGTCCACATCCTTTACTGCTTTTGTTCCAAACAAACAACATTTTTCTTTTAATGCATTGATTCCTGAAAATCAGCAGATGGTAAAAAATATTTCACATGAGTGTGAACCTTGTTTATATGAAGAGGCAGTCATTAATCCTGCCTGGTAAGCAGCAACGACTTAAGAATTTCAGGCATTGTACACAAACCATACATGGGATTTGGTGCCTCTCCAGATAGAAAGAAAGCTATAGGATGCAAGTGGGTGTATAAGATCAAGCATAAGACAGATGTGAGCATTGAGAGATTCAAAGCCAGGTTAGTTGTCAAAGGGTACACTCAACAAGTTGGAATAGACTATTCGGAGACCTTCTCACCAGTGGTAAAGATAACCACTGTAAGGGCTATAGTAGGGACAACAATTAAGAAGAGTTGGCAGATGTTCCAATTAGATGTGAATAATACTTTTCTTCATGGAGATCTGCATGAAGAAGTCTACATGGAAGTCCCACCTGATTTAGTTATAGAGAGACCAGGTTTAGTGTGCAAGCTAAATAAATCTTTGTGTGGCTTGAAGCAGGCATGCGGACAATGGTATGAAAAGCTTGGCAGAAGCACTGTGTTCAAAGGGATATACTCATTCCTTATTGGATTATTCCTTATTTCATAAGAAGAAAGGTAACACAATGGCGTTTGTGGTAGTGTATGTAGATGATGTTATACTCACTGGGCATGACCTTGATGAGATCAACTCCCTGAAGAAGTTCTTGGACCAAACCTTCAAGATTAAAGACTTAGGGATTTTGCATTACTTCTTGGGACTGGAAGTGCTATATAAAGAAGATGGGGTACTGATTTCTCAAAGGAAGTTCACTATGGACTTGCTAAAGGAGTATGATTGTTTGCATCAATCTTCATTATCCTCTCCTCTCGATCCTTCACTTAAGTTGAAAGCTGACGAAGGTGTTCCATTAAAAGATCCCACTCATTATAGAAAGCTGGCTGGGAAGCTGAATTTTATTACCAATACCAGGCTTGACATAACATTCAATGTACAACATCTCTGCCAATACATGCAGAATCCTAGAGATACTCACTTAAAAGCTTTGTATCATGTGTTGAGGTATTTGAAAGGTGATCCCAATTTGGGGATATTTCTATCTAGCAATAAAAATGTTATATGATGTTTACCGGAAAAATCGGATAACATTAGATTTGTGGATGGTTCTAAGGATATGCGATACAATTTGATATAAATCGCGTAGAGAAATGGAAATATGTGTATTGTTGACTGTAAGAACGAAAATAATAAGCAAAACGAATGAATAAGTAAAACAAGCACAAGGGGATAACTATCAATATAAGAAGTGATCTTTTTCTCTGCCCCCCTTCTAGCTTACAAGGATTCCCCCTTTTATAGAAGAGGGTCATTACCAAAATACAATAAAGTAAAACATTTAGTAGAAGACCCATGATGACTTGTCTCTTCTTTGATTCCCGCCAAGATTCTCTCTCTTGGTGTGGTTGCAACGGCTCTTGTCTGTGAGCTCGATACTAACTCGAACTCATTACCGGGTCGGGCCCTTCGGTCTTGGATCGAGTTCGACCTTCGAGATGGGCGTCGCGCATTTTCGACCTTGAAGCAGTGCCTAGCGGATCGATTCGGTCACGGGCTCGATAGGATTATCGAGCCGCCTCCTCGAACGACCTTCAGGCTCAAGGTTCGTTAGTACCGACCTCAAATCTCACTCCCAAAATCTCATTCCGACTTCTTAACACTCGAACTCGATTGAACGTAGGAAGGCTGAAATCTATTTCGACCGTATACAGATAGTTCCCTCATTTCTCAGAAAAGGATGTGGCGAGAAACGATATGATTTCCCAGCAGCTCGATTAGATATACACTGATATTTTTATCGATCCCGACCATGACGTATGCAATGCTCGATCATCTTATGCGTCTTTATAGTCCCCGACCTCATTGAGGATACCCGAATTTTCTCTTCTCCGGTGGGAATTGCCAGTTACCTTCGGTCCTTGGTGACCGGAGAAGATCAATCAGTGATGAATGCGGAGCGACTTTCTGTCTTTTCAACGAGGCCCAATATGCTTTGAATCGGATAACTTCTGATGGCGTTTTCGCCGCTTCTGTACAAAAAATTTGTAAATACAAATATTTCTTTTTTTTTTTGAAGAGAAATGGCCTTTCAAACTAAATAAACAGTTTGAATTTAAATCTCTGTTGCTTTCGGGCCTCATGGGTAGTCCCCTTTGTTTTATCGGGTTCGAGCGTCCTTCAGCTTAAATAGTCAAGTGTTTGTTTTAATTCGAAGAAATGAGTAGTTTTGCTTGAACTAATGCAGCCCGTAGGCGTAATAGTCGAGCGAGTGATGGCTCGAACTCGAAATAAAGGTAGCCCGTAGGCTTAGCAGTCGAGTGAATGATTCGAACTTGATGCAATGTAGCCCGCAGGCGTAATAGTCAAAGTAGCCCGTAGGCTTAATGGTCGAGCGAGTGATTGCTCGAACTCGAAATAAAGGTAGCCCGTAGGCTTGGCAGTCGAGCGAATGATTCGAACTCGATGCAATGTATCCCGTAGGCGTAATAATCAAAGTAGCCCGTAGGCTTAATGGTCGAGTGAGTGATTGCTCGAACTCGAAATAAAGGTAGCTCGTAGGCTTGGCAATCGAGTGAATGATTCAAACTCGATGCAATGTAGCCCGTAGGCGTAATAGTCAAAGTAGCCCGTAGGCTTAATGGTTGAGTGAGTGATTGCTCGAACTAAAAATAAAGGTAGCCTGTAGGCTTGGCAATCGAGTGAATGATTCGAACTTGATGCAATATAGCCCGTAGGCGTAATAGTCAAAGTAGCCCGTAGGCTTAATGGTCGAGTGAGTGATTGCTCGAACTCGAAATAAAGGTAGCCCGTAGGCTTGGCCGTCGAGAGAATGATTTGAACTCGATGCAATGTAGCCCGTATGCGTAATAGTCAAAGTAGCCCGTAAGCTTAATGGTTGAGTGAGTGATTGCTCGAACTCGAAATAAAGGTAGCCCGTAGGCTTGGCCGTCGAGAGAATGATTTGAACTCGATGCAATGTAGCCCGTATGCGTAATAGTCAAAGTAGCCCGTAAGCTTAATGGTTGAGTGAGTGATTGCTCGAACTCGAAATAAAGGTAGCCCATAGGCTTGGCAGTCGAGCGAATGATTCAGACTCGATTCTGTTTGCATAATAAATCTTGAACATAGAATATCGGTAAAGAAGAGAGCTTTCTTTGCAGGTCATTACACATGGGTTCATGTTTTGCGTCAGGGCTCGGGCTAACTATATAAGCATGGTTCGTTTTGACCGTTTGGCCCTTACAACATTTCCCGTTGAGACACTATTTGTCATGAAATAACGAAGTAACTTCCTTTGCACCGAACTTGATAATCATCACAGATGCGTTCAATGATAAAGCCCCCCTGTGTACGAGGTTGATTTTAAAGAGGCCTCGGATACTCATCAGTAGTATCGTTTCCGCTATATGGCTGGTATCGATCTCTGGTCGACTTTTACTTTTTCGTAATGGTCCTAGAAGTCAACTGGTCATCTTCGACTCTTATTTTGGACTGATATCGATTGTGCACATCGGTCCAAGTAATAGCTGGGTACTCGATCAGATTTTGCTTCAGCCGCCGCGAAGCCCTCAAGCTCCGCTCATTTAAACCTTGAGTGAAAGCTTGAACAACCCAATCGTCTGTGACTGGTGGCAGATCCATTCGTTCAATTTGAAAACGAGCTACGAACTCCCTTAGCATCTCGTTATCCTTTTGCATTACCTTGAACATGTCTGACTTTCTGGTTTTGACCTTTATGGCTCCGACATGAGCTTTTACGAAGCAATCTGCAAGCATAGCAAAAGAATCAATGGAGTTAGATGGTAAATTATGATACCATATTATTGCCCCTTTTGACAGGGTTTCACCGAAGTTTTTTAATAATAGAGATTCGATCTCATCATCTTCTAAATCATTGCCCTTGATGGCACACGTGTAAGAAGTGATGTGCTCGTTGGGGTCGGCCGTTCCGTTATATTTGGGTATTTCGGGCATACGGAATTTTTTGGGGATTGGTTTTGGGGCTGCACTCGAGGGAAAAGGCTTTTGAATGAATTTTTTCGAATCTAGCCCTTTTATCATTGGTGGAGCCCCCGGGATCTGGTCGACCCTGGAATTATATGTTTCTACTTTTTTATCGTTGGCTTCGACTCGTTTTGTGAGTTCCTCGAGCAATTTAGTAATTTCGGGAGTAGTCCCCGATTCTTGCTCATTTGGCTTCTCTATGGCTGGTTCCGTTCTGTGGGTGACTTCTCGAAGCGGATTGGGCTCCGGCCTGCTTTGTACCTGAGTTTGGCTCTGCAACTGAGCTATTGCTATTTGCTGGGCTTGTAGCATCTCGAAGATCATCCGTAAGCTGACTCCGATCTCCTCCATGTTATGGGTGTCTCGAGCTACGGATCGAGTACCGCCCTGAATGCTTCTTTCCGGTTCGGAACGCTGATTCGCCTCTAGAGCTATTTGTGAATTGACATCCAATGATACTTCGGCTTGAATTTTGGGTGCTTCGATTCGAGCCTCAGCGCCTTCATCGAGTGGCCTTCCAGCCCCGAGTGCCAAGTTGTTGGTTTCATTTTGAGGGCCGGCTTCGTGGTCGATAGGTGAATCCATTGCTGATTTGAAGTTGCAAACTGGCGTGTACTTTAGGTTTATATCAAACGATCATGGTTACCCTTAGCCCCACAGTGGGCGCCAAACTGTTTACCGGAAAAATCAGATAACGTTAGATTTGTGGATGGTTCTAAGGATATGCGATACAATTTAATATAAATCGCGTAGAGAAATGGAAATATGTGTATTGTTGACTGTAAGAACGAAAATAATAAGCAAAACGAATGAATAAGTAAAACAAGTACAAGGGGATTACTATCAATATAAGAAGTGATCTTTTTCTCTGCCCCCCTTCTAGCTTACAAGGATTCCCCATTTTATAGAAGAGGGTCATTACCAAAGTACAATAAAGTAAAACATGTAGTGGAAGATCCATGATGACTTGTCTCTTCCTTGATTCCCGCCAAGATTCTCTCTCTTGGTGTGGTTGCAACGGCTCTTGTCTGTGAGCTCGATACTAGCTCGAACTCGTTAACGGGTCGGGCCCTTCGGTCTTGGATCGAGTTCAACCTTCGAGATGGGCGTCGCGCATTTTCGACCTCGAAGCAGTGCCTAGCGGATCGATTCAGTCACGGGCTCAATAGGATTATCGAGCCGCCTCCTCGCGCGACCTTCGGGCTCGAGGTTCGTTAGTACCGACCTCAAAACTCACTCCCAAAATCTCATTCCGACTTCTTAACACTCGAACTCGATCGAATGTAGGAAGGCTGAAATCTATTTCGACCGTATACATATGATCAGTGCCTTTTGTGATTCAGACTGACTGCTTGCCCAGAGTCCGGAAAGTCTGTTAGTGGGTACTTAATTCTGCTTGGTGGTTGCCCAGTTAGTTGAAAATCAAAGAAACAGTCCACCATAGCCTTGTCCTCAGCTGAGACAGAGTACATGTCAACTAGAGCAGTGGTTGGTGAACTTATTTGATTAGTCAGGCTGTTTGAAGAGTTAACAGTTCCATTACCTCTCCCAGTTCCAGTTTTTTGTGATAGTCAGGCAGCTCTAAACATAGCCAAGAACCTAGTTTTCCATGAGCGCACCAAACATATATAAGTTGACTATCATTTTGTGCGAGACAAACTTCAAGAGGGTCTGATTTTGTTGCATCATATCTCTACATCTGATCAGTTAGCTGACATATTCACCAAGACTCTCACAGGCATCAAGCACTCCACCTTACTTGACAAGTTGAGTGTGAGTTCCTTACCATCAACTTGAGGGGAGGGAGGGAGGGGTATTGAGAGATGTACATACGCATACTGTGCAACACACTGTATATTTAATTCTTCCATGAGGTGGTTAAGTAGTTAGAGGTAGTTAGTGGTTAGTGGGCCAGCTCATTGCCAACTGGATAGGCAATATTTTTTTCTCCTCTTTGCTTATAAATAGACATTGTACAAATACCAGATAATTGAGTTGGAAATTATGCAATTCATCACTTTTCCAGAATCTTCTCTCCCCTGCTCCATGTCCCTCGCTTGA